TGTTTGAGGGGCTGCCCCAAAGAAGAGGGAGTCAAGCTCTTCTCCAAGGCGCCTGAAGGCAGGACAAGAAGCAACGAATGGAAACGAATCAAGGAGAGAAGCAACTTAGAACTAAGGAGAAATTGCCTGGGAGTGAGAATACTTAATCAGAGGAATGGCTTGCCTCCAGAAGTTGTGTGTGTGTTGTCATCCAGTCTACAACAGAGTCCTTTCAGCAGTTCCAGGAAGACTCCACACCCATTTGCACCACTCAGGTGACCCTGAGGACACAGGTAAGCCTCCAAGTGGCCTCAATGGCTCTCTTAAAAAAAGGCAAACGACCAGCCGTCTGTAAGGAGTATAAATCCTTCCATTCCCCACCATCCGGTCAGAGCTGAAGAAGCTTCTGGGATGAGAAGCGAAACGTCTTCAAAGGAAAAACAAGGAAAGTCCAGTTGCCTCCTTGAAAAAAGCACCTTTGGGACAAACCACGATCTGGATGACTTGAGCATCTCCAGAAACTCCAAAGAAGGATCTCATTCAGCCGTGCAGGTTTTCTCATGCCGAGTTTCTCTCCCTTGGCAGGGATGGGCGTTCCCACCATCACGGCCACCCGCATTCTGAAGGGGCACATGCAGAATCCGCCGTCTCCCGAATCACCGCTAAGTATGGACTCTTTTCCGTACGTGGCGCTTTCCAAGGTAGGAAGAAGCCCAGGCTTTTGTCCGTCTGATCCTGGAGCTCTGAGTCGTTTGCCTAGTGGACGGCCACTCGTCTTTCCCTGCCCGCCAAGGTTCCTGGGGCTTTAGGCGGCCATTCAACAGGGGAAGCCTGTGCACGGGTCTCAGTTGGGAGGAGGGTCCTCACTTTTTCCATGCCCCTTGGGTCCGGAATCTCAAAAGCAAAGTGCCTCTGTGACCACTTCGGGTAGATGTAAAGGGGTTGCAAAACCAGATTCAAGGCAGAGTCAAACAAAGGCAGTCCTCATTTTACGACCATCCGCTCGGCGATTGAGATTACGACAGCGCTGAAAAAAGTGACAGTCGCATTTATGACCATCTCAACGTCTCCGTTTGTGACCTTCCCAGGGGGGTTTCCAGCCCGCAAAGTCGGTGTGGAAACGGCCCGAGAATGTCGCAAATTGTCGACCGTGTGATGACTCGCTTAACGACCGCAGTGATTCACATAATGACGGTGGCAAAAAGGGATCATGAAATTGGGGCGGTCACCTAATGCTTCATTTAACGACCGTGCCTCTTAAGGATGAATTTTCTGGCATCCGATTGTGAAAGCACGCTGAGGAGACGGTTTGCCCCGTGCGTGAGGTAGAAAAGTTGGACACCTGTTGAATGCCAGCCTGCAGTCTGGGTTAGGCCCAGAACCGTTGCCAGTTGCAGCCAGCGATTTGAATCATCATGATCCAAAGAGTTCCTACAGTTAGTCCTCAACTTACAACGGTTTGTTTAGTGCCCTTAGTTACAACGGCACTGAAAAGAGTGAGTTGCGAGTGAGTTTTTTACACTTAACGACCGTTGCATCCCCATGGTCACGTGATCAAGAGTCAGGCCCTCTGTAACCGATTCATAGTTACGACGGTCGCTGCGTCCCGGAGACACGTAATCCCCTTTTGCGACCTGCACCTCCTTTTTTTCCCTACACTTCTCCTTTCCCCTTTCCCTCCCTTTTCCCCCCCTACTATTTGCTTTTTGTATTTTTGATTTTTATATTTAAAACTAATAAAAACTATAAAAAAATATAAAATGGGGCAAAGCTCACTTAACAACTGTCTCGCTTAGCAACGGAAATGTCGGGCTCGATTGCGGTCGTACGTTGAGGACTCCCTGTATTCTGCAGTTTTTCCGAACCCATCAAGGAGAGACAGTCGGTTGGAACTGGCTCTGCTTGGGCCTCTTGTACCCAACAGCAGGGCTGGTCTTTCTTCAACCCCCATCCCGGACCGACCCCCAGAAGCTGGTTTGAGATCCTGGGAAGACGAATACTCGGGACTTTCTCCCAGCTGTTCCTCTTGCTTTCTGCAGACCTACAACGTGGACCGGCAAGTGCCCGACAGTGCAGGAACGGCCACTGCCTACCTCTGTGGGGTGAAGGGCAACTACGGCACCATTGGACTGAGTGCCGCTGCCCGATATAATCAGTGCAACACGACAGCCGGCAATGAAGTCGTATCGGTCCTGAAGCGGGCTCAGCTGGCTGGTAAGGACGAGAGGGTGGGAAGTGGGAAATTGGAGGCGGGTGGCTTTAGAAGAAATGTATCAATTTCAGTTTGAATTTCAATCTCAATTTCAGTCTCAATCTCAATCCCAATTCCAATCCCAAAACCAATTCCAATCCCAATCCTAATCTCAAACCCAAACCGAATCCCAATCTCAATTTCAATCTTAATTTCAATCCCAATCCCAATCCCAAAACCAATCCCAATCCCAATCCCAATCCCAAAACCAATCCCAATCCCAATCCCAATTCCAAAACCAATCCCAATCCCAATCTCAAAATCAATCCCAATTCCAATCCCAATCCCAATCTCAAAATCAATCCCAATCTCAATCTCAATCCCAATCCCAATCCCAATCTCAATCTCAATCCCAATCCCAAAACCAAAACCAAAACCAATCCCAATCCCAATCCCAATCCCAAAACCAAAACCAAAACCAAAACCAATCCCAATCTCAATCCCAATCCCAATCCCAGTCCCAGTCCCAGTTCCAATCCCGATCCCAATCCTCCTACAAGGTCCCTTCCAACTCTCTAATTCTAATTCTAATTAATTCTAATTCTAATTCTAATAATTCTAATTCTAATGATGGCTTTTGCACGTGTCACTCCCCTTTCAGGCTGATTGTTTGAACGGCCCTTCCTTTCTCCCTTTCTTCCTCCATGGCTGCAGGAAAGTCCGTGGGGATTGTGACCACCACACGAGTCCAGCACGCCTCCCCGGCGGGGAATTATGCCCACGTGGTGAACCGGAACTGGTATAGCGACGCCAGCCTGCCCCAGTCGGCACTGGCGGGGGGCTGCAAGGACATCGCCCTGCAACTCCTCGAAAACGTGGACCTCACGGTCAGTTGGGAAGAGTTGGAAAACCCATCAGCCTTCTTTGCAGGACATTCAGCAGCTCCAGGAGCTGCTCTGAAAACATACAGGTAGTCCTCGACTTACGACCACAACGGACCCCCGAAATTTATGTTGCTAAGCGAGACATTTGCGAAGTGAGTTTCGCCCCATTTTACTTCTTGCCACATTTGCTAAGCGAATCGTGGTTACGTTTGTCGCACGGTTGTTAAACGAATCAGGCTTCCCCGTTGGAGTTGGCTTGTCCGAAGGTCGCAAAAAGGAGAATCACGTGACCCCCGGGAGTCTGCGACCGTCATAAATACGAGTCCGTTGTCAAGCATCCGAATGTGAATAACATGACTGTGGGGATGCTGTAGTAGTGGTCGTAAGTGTGAAAAATGGCCATAAGTCCCTTTTTTTTCAGGGCCGTCGTAACTTCGGTCACTAAGGGAACCGTTGTAAGTTGAGGACTACCTGCAGTTTAAAACAAGAGAGAAAAACCGCACCTTTCCCACGAAGCCAATACCTGTCAATCATTATCATGGTGTTGGTTTTCTGACGTTTACTCGGTCCGTTTTATGACACTTCCTGTTTTTTAAATTCTTTCCAGCCACTTCGAGAGCCCTTGGGATAATAAGTAGAAGGGGCAATATGTATTCAGTAATAAGATAAGCCAACTCCCGCTTCACCAGAAACGGGGAACGTAGCGGACAAAGGTTCATAGCCTCGTGTTTTATGCTTATCGACTTTCTGCTGTGTGCATAATACAAATGATGTACCAATAAAGGAGAATATTTGTAGCTCGGGGCTGAATGAGGTGGTCTCTGGGGCCTGGCTGTTTTCTTGGAGACGTTTCGTTACCTGAATAGGTTACATCATCAGTGCTAGATCTGATTAGTGCTGGTCCAGAATAACACTGATGATGTTGCCCAGTTAGGCAATGAAATGTCTGCAAGAAAACCACCAAGCTCAGAGAGCACCAAGGGCCCCACCATTGTCAATCACCACCACCACCACCACCTCCTCCTCCTCCTCCTCCTCCTCCTCCT